ATAGAGGAAAGTGTCATGGGCCTTTTCCCGTTTGGTTTGGTCGTCCCTTACTTGTGTTTGCTTGTTTGTTTGTACGTGTATCTGTGTGTGTGTGTGTGTTTGTGTGTTAGTGTGTGTGTGTTTGTGTGTTAGTGTGTGTGTGTTTGTGTGTTAGTGTGTGTGTGTTTGTGTGTTAGTGTGTGTGTATGTTTGTATGTTAGTGTGTGTGCTTATATTTGTGTGTTCGTGTGTGTGTTAGTGTGCATGTTAGTGTGTGTGTGTGTGTGTGTGTTAGTGTGAATGTTAGTGTGTGTGTGTTAGTGTGAATGTTAGTGTGTGTGTGTGTGTTAGTGTGAATGTTAGTGTGTGTGTGTTAGTGTGGATGTTAGTGTGTGTGTGTGTGTGTTAGTGTGAATGTTAGTGTGTGTGTGTTAGTGTGAATGTTAGTGTGTGTGTGTGTGTGTGTTAGTGTGAATGTTAGTGTGTGTGTGTTAGTGTGGATGTTAGTGTGTGTGTGTGTGTGTGTGTTAGTGTGAATGTTAGTGTGGATGTTAGTGTGTGTGTGTGTTAGTGTGAATGTTAGTGTGTGTGTGTTAGTGTGAATGTTAGTGTGTGTGTGTGTGTGTGTGTGAATGTTAGTGTGTGTGTGTTAGTGTGGATGTTAGTGTGTGTGTGTGTGTGTTAGTGTGAATGTTAGTGTGTGTGTGTTATGTTAGTGTGAATGTTAGTGTGTGTGTGTGTTAGTGTGAATGTTAGTGTGTGTGTGTGTGTTAGTGTGAATGTTAGTGTGTGTGTGTGTTAGTGTGAATGTTAGTGTGTGTGTGTTAGTGTGAATGTTAGTGTGTGTGTGTGTGTGTGTGTGTGTATGTGTGTGTGTGTGTGTGTGTGTGTGAATGTTAGTGTGTGTTGTTAGTGTGAATGTTAGTGTGTGTGTGTGTTAGTGTGAATGTTAGTGTGTGTGTATTAGTGTGAATGTTAGTGTGTGTGTGTGTGTTAGTGTGAATGTTAGTGTGTGTGTGTGTTAGTGTGAAGGTTAGTGTGTGTGTGTTAGTGTGAATGTTAGTGTGTGTGTGTGTTAGTGTGAATGTTAGTGTGTGTGTGTGTTAGTGTGAATGTTAGTGTGTGTGTGTTAGTGTGAATGTTAGTGTGTGTGTGTGTGTTAGTGTGAATGTTAGTGTGAATGTTAGTGTGTGTGTGTTAGTGTGAATGTTAGTGTGTGTGTCTGTCTATAATTGGCGATGAAAGATCAACAATTTAGACTTTAAGGAATCAGACGAAAAACGACATTTGATTAGCTCCACACCTTTTAATTATGATAATGATAATTAGTGGTCACATGTGATCCTTTATACGAGTACTTATATGAATAAATACGAGAGAGTAGTGCTGCAACAGACGCTTATCATTTATATATTTGAAGAAATTACTAAATTATTACAAAATTTAGACCAGAGAATAATGTGATATATGTGGCATTAATATGTGGATATTTTTTCCACCAAATGATGTGATAGTTTTACAGTAATAATTCTATAGAGTAACGTCAAGCATTTTTAACGAGTAACTGTAATAAAGAAGGTAATTCTAACGTTCTATTAATTTCCTGAAGACATTTTTCAACAATGTTTTAAAGAGTTAATTCTATCTGAATACACAAATGCGCACGCAAATACACACGGACACACACACACATACATGCACACACACACATACACACAAACACACACGCACACATACGCACACGCACACGCACACACACACATACGCACGCACATGCACACATACAAACAAACATACACACACGAAAAGGAGTGTGCAACTAGGATCTAACTAGCTTCATAGCCATTACCAATCTACTCATACATGAGTAAAGATAGCGAGGTTTTACACACACTCCCCGTAGGCACTCGGTGGAAATTGATTTAGAAACTCGAAACCAAAATCAACTGTACTGAGATGTATACATATGAAAGGTGGAATAATGCAATGCCACCTTGATATATATTTATATCACGGCGGCATTTTATTATTCCGTCTTTCATGTGCGTGTGTATTTACGCATGTGGGTTATACATACTGCCATACTGTACACGCACACATATAGATGTACATGTGTGTATGTATATATATGGATACATATATATTTGTATATATATATGTATATATATATGTATATATATATATGTATATATATATATATATATATATATATATATATATATATATATGTATATATATATATATATATGTATATATATATATATATATATATATATATATATATATATATATATATATATATATATGTGTGTGTGTGTGTGTGTGTGTGTGTGTATATATATGTATATTTATATGTATATATATATATATATATATATATATATATATATATATATATATATATATATATATATATAACAAATCTGGGTGCACACAGATAAAATGAAACCAAATCACGAAATAAATAAACTAAAACTCTTGACGTTTCGAACATACCAAGTGTTCCTCTTTAAAGCAAATC